GAATCTGGTGGGCCTGGGTGGGAGACTAAAACTAAATATATATATTTTTTTATTTTACCAGGGTACGGCCCCCACCATTGAGCAGCTCGTTTTTTTCAGAAGCGAACCCCCGGCTAACACAAATGAGAGCTCAGCGATGTGGCCCAACATCACCATCATCATCGTCGTGTGGAAATGTACGGCGGCCAAACACTCAAAGCGCGTGCGTGATGTCCAATCCAAATGTGGAGGGGGGAAGGGGGTTACCGGAGGACTCGGAGAAAAATCCACGCGACCACGGGGAGAACACGCAAACTCCAAATATACAGTCAGTCGGGATCGAACCCACGATCTCCTGTATACCAGGCGAGGGAGTTAACGTCTCATAGCCACCATGATGAGAGAGACACGCAAACTTCAAATATACAGCAGCAGGCATCGTCAGGGTCGGGATCGAACCCACGACCTCCTGCATACCAGGCAAGGGAGTTAACATCTCCTAGCCACCGTAGGGGGGTGGAGGTCATGTCCTGTATAATACAAACATTGCGGTTTCAACATAAACCATCCGTCACGCCAACTCTGGTCATCATCGCAGCAGCGGCTTTTGGCTAGGCGTCGAACAAAGATGGTCACCGGCATCGCTCGCTCGCTTTCAGAAAGGCTTCTGTGGCCGTCTGGAACGCTCTCCTTGCGATGTTAGAAACCCCGCTGGGAGATCGAAGCGAAGGTTAAAACAAGTTAAATAAATACAAACCGGTTTGACACGCAGGTTTTGTTTTGGGTTAGATCGCGTAGAAATATAAACATGTCGTTAACCCCCCCCATCACCACCGGGCACAGTCAATCAACTAAGGTTTGTCACGTGAATAAAAACGTGGCAATTAGTCGCGACTTCACAATTCTGGCAAAAATGCCCGACGAGGCCTCCTGCTAATCACCAGCCTCACCGTCGCACCCGAATTGTGAAATGCTGTGGGGGTTTCTCCTCTCTTCTCACACCACCAAGCACACGCGGGCACTCCGGCTCACGCGTATGGCAAATGACCCGGGGTGGGGGGAGTGGTGGGGAGGAGGGTTGGTAGGGAGGGATGGGGGGGAGGGATGGGGGTGGTGGGGGAGAGGGTGGTGGAGATGGGGGGTGGAGAGGGGGGGACGGGGAGGTGGTGAGATGGGGTGGTGGAAGGGATGGGGGGGTGGAGAGGGATGGGGGTGGTGGGGGGAATGGGGTAGTGGGGGGAATGGGGGTAGTGGGGGGGCACCCTCGCTAGCGGGGGTACCCCGACGCCTATCCGGGCCTCGCGGCCCCAACTCTGTAGTTCGAGCACCAGGCCACTTCCAAGTGCTTCTCGGCTCGGGCGGAAGTTCCTTCCTGTTTGTTACCGAGCCGAGCCGGAAGGCCGGACGGACGCTCAGCAGGAGCAGGTCGAGGCCGACTCCGCTGCAGCGTCTACCAACGTGAGCATCTATAACAAAGCATACCAGGTGTGTAGTGTACGGGGACACGTTGGGGGCGGCGCGCGCGGGCGATGATGCACGCATGCCACGCGGCGGGTTCAGGGTTCACGACGGGGTTGAATAGAGGGTTGACGGTCGGGGGTTCATGAAGGGGGGGTTAATGATAGCGGCGACTGCTTCACGAAACGGGGAAAAGAGGTTTGACGAAAGGGTCAACGAGAGGGTGACTAAAAGGGGTTAAAGGAATGGTTCACGAAAGGGTTGACGGACGGGGTCAAATAAATAGTTGACTTGTCAGGGTTAACGACAACGGTTTAACACGTTGCCGGTGTCCCGGTTTTACCCAGGACCGCTAACCCCGAAGCACCGCGCGAGTGGCTGCCCCGCGCTGCCCTGGGCCACAAGGGGCCAGCGGTGCGGCCCGTCACTGAGAGGGCGCCCACGGTCACGTGGAGACGGCGCCGGCGTCGTCAGGTGTTACAACGCAGGCCGCGTACACGTGCGTCGTACAAGTCGGCTTCATGTCCCGCTTGGGTTACGGAAGCTGCGTGGCGGAGTGGCCCCCTTTTTGCGAGACGTCGAACCTCACGCCATTCCTCACACCACACACACACAGAAGCCCACAATTGCATCGTCGATCGTAAAATAACTTTTTTTTTTTAAACGTTTCCCCCCCCCCAAAATCCTCTCTCCGGTTCTCCTCTCTCTCGCCTCTGTCCGCGCCACCATCGCCACTTACAAAAACGTACGCGGTCCAACCCCATCCCGTATCCCTCCAGCGCCCCGACCACCCACCAACCCCTCTATGATCTACGTAGCAACGCTCGAGCGATTTATGTGCGCCGTCGCCCAACCCGGGGGTAACCTCGCCAGTGCCGGCGACGAGAGAGAGAGAGAGAGAGCCACGCTGGCGCGACGTCAGCGCGGGACGGCTTTTTTTTACGGATACTCGGCACGACTAACGAAGCAGCTGCCAAACAACAGAAGCAGCGACACCACCGACGCAATAATAACTTAAGACAGCGGCGGGCGGGTGGGTGGGTGGGTGGGGGGGGGGACGACCTCCGAGTGGCACGGTGCGTGGCGCCAATGCCGGGCACTGAATCGCCGCTGCCACCTGATGACGGCACGGTGGCAAGAGAACGTGGCACCAGCCACCCAGCGGCCGCGGTGCCACACGCGGCGACGTCAGTAGGACATGGCAATGCCACCGCCATTTGCCGCCCCCGCGCATCCGATGCGGGGCTTCAGTCAACTGGCGGGTCGAGGAGAACTTCAACGCGGGGGGGGGGGGGTTTGGGGGAAGAGCGCATTCGCACCGCCGGACTCATCGCTCCCACGGGGGAGCGGTCCGTCAGCAGCGCCCTCTCTCGTCACCGCGGGGGGCTTTCATCGTGTCTCCCTCTCCCGCCCTCCTCGGCAGCCCAAGTACGCTTCCCTTAGTCCACTACGATAAACGGTAGCGACGAATTAACTCGAACATTTTAAACTCGCGCGCGAGAGAGAAAGCTGCCACGAACGTGTGATATTTTCTCAAAAAATAAAATTAACATTTCAAGACCTTCCTTCAGTCTCCGCACCCACCCTCTCCACCTTCACGACAACTGTCACACACGGGCGCAGATGAACGGAACGTCCAGGAATAAACGGAGCAGGAGCGGTCGGAAGATGCAGGCAGGAAACCCGACGGCACGCTAAGAAACGGCACGCGACGGTGTTGCGGTGGCGGACGTCTTTCGAGTAGACGGAAACCCGATCGATCCGAGCAGGAGGAGGTGGACCGAGACAGACCGTGCGGAGGTACGAGGTACACCCAACCGCACGTCAAGCCGCCGTTGCCCACCCCACCGCCAAACGCCGCTCGGAACAGGGGCGGCGGGGTGGGGGGGGCCTCCGTCCGGGCCGCCGCACGTTGCCAGCAACCTGTCACGTCTGCCGCTGCGAGAGAGGGCGCTCGCGGTGACGCCGGCGACCGAGTGCGGCGCACTAGTAGCTACGGGCGTGCTGAACTTCTTTCGCGCCGCATTCAGCCTCGTAGCACGGCCGCGCTCAATCGGAGGTGCGGCGCCGTCGGCCGCGTCCCAACGTGTTCCCCCGCTCTAGGACCCGATTAGCGCGGCGGCGATGCTCCCAGCGACGGATATCACTGGGAGCATCTCAGAAGCGGCAGGCCTCGGGCAGTGTGGATCGAGGAGAGGAAAATTGTAATTTTTAGTTTGTTGTACATCAGAGAAAATAATCGATTTTTTTCCGCGTCTCTTAACGTACGGCCAGATTTAAGACGCTTGGAAATTTCGGGAACGCCCGTTCTCTTGGCCTCGGGGGGGCAGTGTGCCCTACATAACGAAGTCTCGGGCCATGCATGGCCCCAGGTCTCCCCATCCCCCACCACCCCCATGCGTTCGGCGGTATGAAGAAGCATTCGTAGTTGTGTGCATTTGGTCCGGAGGGTAAGCGTTTCGTAATCGCTGCGTGCCGGTGCGTCATCAGTCGTCCGGTTCATTGAAGTGAAACGCCAAGGGCCATTACCGCTGCTGCCGGGCGTCCCCCCACCGCTGAGACGGTGCGAGCGAGGTGACGTTGGCACGCGTTACGCAAGTGCTGAGCATAGACCGGTCTACTAGAGTCCCTTCGCACGCATGCCTGCATTGCTGCAACACAAGGCAGCTGGATCAAGAACTGCTCGTGAATCCGATCAGAAATCTTCTTCTCTCGTGAGCCACTATTGTTATGTATTCTGTAGAGGCATTGTTGCTGGTTTGAACTCTGAACCCCCCCCCCCCCCCAAAGTCCTCGTCATATACTGTCGGAGCCGACGTTGGCAAAAATTGTTTGGGAGGTGGGTCTGTTTCATTCTTGTCAAGAGGCCCCCCCCCGCCTCCACCCCCCAAGGCTATGACACATCTTGTCATAGCCATCCCGTGTCTACGGAGGCTGTGCCACAGCGAGGGTGCCGTCTCGTGTCTACGGAGGCTGTGCCACAGCGAGGGTGCCATCTCGTGTCTACGGAGGCTTGGCATAGCGAGGGTGCCGTCTCGTGTCTACGGAGGCTGTGCCACAGCGAGGGTGCCGTCTCGTGTCTACGGAGGCTGTGGCACAGCGGGCTGCCGTCTCGTGTCTACGGAGGCTGTGCCACAGCGAGGGTGCCGTCTCGTGTCTACGGAGGCTTGGCATAGCGGGCGCGTGGCAGGGGCGGCGGGGGGGAAGTCTTGTAATCCATGCACCTCTCTCTAAGCGCAACGGCGTCTTCCGGACACACTTCCGTCAACTCACGTAGCAGCGGCAGCACGAGAATCGTGGCACACTTCAAAATAAATACTCCAAGAAACAAAAATAATCCACAGCTCTTGTCTATAATTAGGCTCCAGCATTTAAATAATTGGCAGGGTAAGCCAGCTGCAAAAGGGACCCTCGGGCATTTTGTTTAGGCGCAAAACAAAAATACTTTAATATCAACATTGCGGGGCGACTCGCCTCTGACCCCAACGGAGGCTTTTTTTAGCTCACCAGAGCAGACGTTAAAAACGGCTAATTACACTCAGAAGCAACACAAACAACTTAAATAAATCCTTGCATTGCAATTTATAAATAGGTGGGAAATTGTACAAAATCAACTGTGCAGCCTTGAAAACAACAATTTCTTAAATACCAATACAAAAAAAAACGAACTCAATTTGCATCCAAAATGAAACAGCGCCGTGCCCTTTACGGCTCCGAAATGTAAAAAAATAACCACACACACCACACCCCGCGGGCGACAAGTTTTCACAACGCCACGTTCGGGGGACGTCGTCCTTCCCCCTCCTCCTCCGTCGCGATCCTCACGACCCCCCCCCACACACCCCCTGGTCGAACACCATCGCAACCCCCCCCCCCCCCCCCCCGTGACGCTGTGGTGCGGTTCATGCGCGGACGACCGGGGGGGGTCTGGGGTTGGTGGGGGGGGGGGGGTCAGCCAGTGGCAGTGTTGATGCAGTCGGCACTTCCGAGCCCCGTTAGGCTATTCCATGCACAACCTGTGTGATTTTTATTATCTCTTTTAGATTTTTTTTGTTATCTCGGAGGATAAGATCGCCACCGCGGCCAAAAGCTTTCCGTCCCCCCTTCTGCCAGACACGCTACCCGATAACCTCCAAGGTCCGACCTCGACAATCTCCCGCCACCATCCCACTGCTCGCTCGTCAGATTCAAACTCCACCGCATTTGTATTTTGTTAAGTCTTCGTCCGTGCATTTCGTTCGCAGGTCGGCAAATGCTCCCACGTGTCTCGACGAAGCCTGTGAATATTCATCCCCTGGCTAAATAAAAGGACGCTCCTGACCGCTTCGCCGGAAATCCACACAGGTTGTTGTCAAATAGCCTGAGCCCTCAAGACTAAAGAGGACTGGAGTGTCAACTCAATGAACACTGGCCGGGGCGGGGGGAGGGGTTGAGGGCAAGTGGAGGGACCCCAGTCGTTCGTTGCGCACAGCCCCTCGACTGCCCCAAGAGCCCCCGGTGGTGTTGCGGGGCAGTAGAGGGCAGGAGCGTAGCGAGCGAGCGAGCGATCGGGCGACAGAGCGACCGGGCAACCGGCTGACCGGGCAACCGGGCGACCGGACGACCGGTTGACCGGGCGACCGGTTGACCGGGCGACCGGTTTACTGGGCAACTGGGCGACCGGGCAACAGAGCGACGACTCTGCACGGGGAGCCACGGGGGGACGAGACGGGCGAGCGACCGCGCGCACATTCGGGGCGACCGCCGGCGGACGGCCTTCTCAGTCGACGGGGCCTTGGAAGATGAGGCGCACGAAGCCCTGCTCGCCCGTGAGCTGCGCGGCGCAGAAGGGGCACGTGGCGTGGAAGGCGTGCGTGCCGTGGGGTAGCGGCACAGCCGCCCAGTAGCGCGCCGTGCGCTCCGAGCACACGTGGCCGCACGGCGTGAGGGCGTGCGTCGGGGCCTCCCCGTCCACGTAGAAGCCGGCCTCGCAGCCCAGCGACAGGGCCACGTAGGGCCCCAGCGAGCGGCACACGGGGCACTCGCGTCGTTGCTCCTGCTGCTGCCGCTGCCACGCGGCCCCCGTCCCCCCCGTCCCCCCCGCTCCCGCGGCGGCGGCTTCCTCGCGTAGGCCCCAATCGTGGCGGCCGTGCACGTGGCCGCACGTCAGGTAGGCCCAGGGCTGTCGAGCGTCGGGCCGGGCGACGTGACGGCCGCCCCCTCCCCCCGCGCCGCCGCCGCCGCCGCCGCCGCGCCACTGCTGCTGGGCGGCGCTGGGGAAGGCGAGGGTGTTGAGCCCCACGGGGCACTGCGGCCGAGCGGCGTTCAGCTCCTGGCGCAGGAGCTCGATGTGCCGCACGGTGGGCGAGCGGCGAAGGCCCTCGGCCGTGCGCCACAGCAGCGTGGCGCCGCACAGGTCGACGAGGGAGCCGTCCTGCAGCTCGTTGCTCTCGGTCTCCACCTGGACGGGCCGCATGGGGGGGGGGGTGGGGTCAGGGAGGGTGGGCGCTGCATGTCTTGGTGCTAGATGTAACTGCCTCGCCTGGTATGCAGGAGGTCAGGGGTTCGATCCCGACCCTGATACCTGCTGTATATTTTCCTCTCCCCGGAGGCGTGTGGATTCTTCTCAGAGTCCTCCGGTTGCCCCCCCCCCCCCCCACGTTTACTTTGTTGAGCTACCATTTGTGGCTTCTGAAAAAGAGCTACATAGCTCGGTGGGCTTTACCTGGTCCAAAAAAAAAATTGGTTCAATAGTTTAACAGTCGTCTCCGGCTGAATCGTGGTGACCTCTGGCTGGGTCGTGGTGACCTCTGGCTGGGTCGTGGCAACCTCCTGCTGGATTGTAGTGACCTCCTGCTAAGTCGTGGTGACCTCCAGCTGGGCCGTGGTGACCTCCAGCTGGGTCGTGGTGACCTCCCGCTGGGTCGTGGTGACCTCCCGCTGGGTCAACCGAATCAAAATTTTTCTGCTCGCGATTACACGTTGTCGATTTGTGGACATCAAGCATGATGGGCGAGCGCTGGTGACTGCTTGGGCACACGTGCTTGCAGGTACGGGGCTGCCCGTGTGAGGACGTCACACAACAATGAAACAGAGATCCCCCCCACCCCCATGTAGCCTTCACAGACTGTTGGGGAAAGTGCCGTTAGCGAGTTAGCGCCTAACTAATGCCGGCATGGCACATGAGGGTGTTTGGTGGCCAGCACCACGCCCGACTGGCCTCGTCTCCCTAGTGGCGATGTTTACACATTGCAACCAGGTCAACCTAGGGGAGGACCAGGGACAGGTTCAGATAATAATAATCATCACCCGTGTTGGCCATGAGCGGGAATCAAACTCGGGTCACCGGGTCCGTAGCGCAGCGCGCTAACCGCTGCGCCACCGCTCCCCCCCCCCCACACACACACACATAAACATATAAAAATATCCGCTAGCAAAGCCTCAACAGATTGTTGGGGCAAGTGCTGTTATAGCGAGCACCTATGAATGTCGGCACGTACACACACGTGTATCGCTGTGACAACATCGCGGACACCACGAGGGTGTGAGTGTAGTACCGGCCCTAGAGGGGCCCGGTGAGCGCTGATTGATGCGCTGGATGGCACCACGCTTGGCGTGCAGTGCCAGCCCCTACAGGACAGGGTGTGCGAGTGCCATTTGCCACTAAATGGCGGTGACGTCACCACGACGCTTATGCCAGGCCACGTGCACGTTGAGGCCACGTGAAGTGTCGAGCGCCCGCCGGCAGGAGGCCACGGGGCAGACCCAGGTGCCACGGGTCGACCGAGATGACTGCCCCCTACTGTGGCGCACGTACACACACACACACGCGCGCGCGTGCGTGCGCACACATCCGTACCAGGCATCCGCGGTGCTGTGCGGAGCGCGTCTCGCGCAGCGTGTACACCTTGCCGCCCACCGACACCTCACGCCACACTCCGGGCTGCACCAGCTCGGACAGCTCGCCGCCGCCGCCGCCGCCGCCGCCGCCGCGCGGGTGCATCACCAGCACGCCGTTCGTCGTGAGGCCGTCCATGGAGCCGTCCGCGTCGCGCCACTTAGTTGCACGCTCCTGTGCACACCAAGGTCCGGGGGACCCACCCCCAACCCACGCCGGCATGGCCGTTAAACAGACCGTCGGGGGCGAGCGCTGTTAGCGGGCGCCGATTAAGGGTCGGCACGGCGCACGAGGGGGTGGGTGGCCAGCACCACGTCCGGGGGGGGGGGCTTCGTCTTCCCAGTGCCGATGTTTACACACCACAACAGGTACTCTAATTTAGAGGCCGCGTCAACCTAGGGGAGAAGCTCAGGAACGGTTCAGATAATCGTCGTCTGTGTTGGTAGCCATGAGCGGGAATCGAACTCAGGTCGCCGGGTTTGTAGCGCAGTGCGCTAACCGCTACACTACCCCCCCCCGCATGCACGCACACACACGCACGCACGCGCGCGCACGAACGCACGCCTGCATCGGTGTAGCATAAGGCAGCTGATCGGATTCACCGCTTGTGAATCCGATCAGAAATATTTTGTCTTGAGCCATTATATTAAGACAGAAACAGGAGGAGGATTTCTCCACAACTGTGTCGCCTCATGAGGCTGGTTCTAATTACCAGCATGTCACGGTAAATGTTGTGGGTTTACTCTCGAACACACACAAGCGGCCAGTGACCTAGTAAGGAATTGGCACGTTTTGTTTACGTGACAAACCTTACCAATTGGCTGTATTGGGCAGTTGGTGACATCAAAAACACATTTCTATTTAGGTGATCTAACCACAAAAAAAAAACGCTATTATGGATTATTATTATTGTTATTATTATTCTTGCAGAGCAATCACTGCTGGTAGGCCCGGCCCTCTGAGGTATTTTGTCCGAGCCTCTGGGCGAGCTGCTCACCCCGAGGAAGATGTTGTTGGAGGAGTCGAAGCCGGCGGCGTAGACGCGGGCGCGGTGCGGCGGCGAGCGCTCGCACAGGATGCGGCACGCGAAGCGCGAGATGGTGCTCTGCGCCGTCGGGCTGCCGCCGCTGCCGGTGCTGCTGCCGCCGCCGCCGCCGTCCCCGCCGCCGCCGCCCGGTGGCTTCCACGGCGCCGTGTCCATCACCACGAAGTCGACGGGAGCCTCGCCGGAGCGACCCACCTACGTGGGCACGCGGGCAACCGTCAGGGGGGGGGGCAACCGTCGCGGGGAGAGACGGTGTGGGCACGGGTGAGCTGGACTTGGGGGGTAGGGAGGAGGCGCCCTCGGGGCCGCTAGGCCACACCGGCGTTCCCACGTCGCCAGGCCGCGAGCCGCGACGTCTTTTGGTGGCGGCGGACGCCAGTGCGCGCGTCTTGCCGTTTTCGAGAATGTCAAAACAATCGACGGGTCGGAACTGCGGCTCGTCCGGTTCACCGGGAGGGCCCTTCCTGCCATCCTTCCTGCCATCCTTCCTGCCATCCTTCCTGCCATCCTGCCACCCGGGGGTTCCCCCGCCGCCGCCGCCGCCGCCCACTGGCCGCGGCTCGCCGAGGAGGGGTCGCCGGGAGACGTCGGGGGGATCGAGTCGCGTTACGTCGACTCCGAGCGAAGCCTCCGGAGGGAGGTGCAGTCTACGCTCTCCACAAACCACCTGCCAGGTTGCTCCATTCCGCGGCCAAGCGAACCGACGGCATTGGGCGAATCGCCCTCTGCCTCGGCGCTCAATTTGGCTACGCTACGCGCCCTGCGGTTTGCGACACGCACGTCGGTTAGGTCAAGATTCCGGGCTCCCTTTCGCTTTCCACCTATGAAGGGGGTGAGCGGAAATCCCGGCACCGCGGGGTGGTGCGGATTCGACGTCGCTCCCCGGTGTCCGTCCACGCGGAGGCGGCGGTCACGTCGACATCCCTCTAAGAGGTCACGTCGACATCCCTCTAAGAGGTCACGTCGACATCCCTCTAAGAGGTCACGTCGACATCCCTCTAAGAGGTCACGTCGACATCCCTCTAAGAGGTCACGTCGACATCCCTCTAAGAGGTCACGTCGACATCCCTCTAAGAGGTCACGTCGCGCGACCCCAGGAGGAGGAGGCACGCCGTCGCCACCCGCCGTCCTGCCGCTAGCGGCGCAGGCGATGCACAGACGCAAACCCCCGTCGCGATCGCGCAGGCGCAGGCGCAGGCACAGGCGGAGTCGCGTGCGTTGCAGGCGCAGGCGAAGAAGCGCGGGCGGTCCCCGCTTCTGACAGACGCGGGACACACCACACACCCGCACGGACGCGGGGCGCGGTGGCGGTGCGGCGGCTTCGGCAGGAGACGCGTCGGGTGCTGGCTTGGAGACGCAGCAGACACATCGGCGGGGAGACGGGTGGGGAGACGGGTCGGTGGGGGACACGGGGGGGTGCCAACAACAGCATCGGCACCGCGCGCGACGGCCGGCGATCGTGCCGCCGCCGGCTGCGAGAGTTAAATATCGGTCCCGGTGCCACGCGGCCAACGCCGCTCTCTGCCGCCCCCTAACCGCGCGGACCAGAAGTGACTCAAAGAAAACCCCCGAGGGTAGCTCTGCGGGATCCACTTCGGCGGGGCTGTCCTGCAACGCGGAAAAAGCATTTGCGGCGCCCCCAGCGAGATTTCCTAACGGGTCGATTTTGTCTCGACGACGACGCGACGGCGATGGAGCGGCAACGCCGATCGGGGAGGGGGGCCGGGGGGGCGGGGGGGGCGGAAGCGGAGGTCGCTTCCGCTGCCCTCACCAAGAACATGTCCTGGTCCAGGTCGTGGACGTACTCCACCACCACCACGTGGCTCCGCGAGAGGCCGTAGGAGATGCTGTGCTGCTCCTTGCTCGACACGGCCTGCACGCACACACGCACGCACACACGCACACGCACACACACGCACACACGCACACGCACACACACGCACACACGCACACACGCACGCGCAGACATTCATCCGCGTCCCGCACGCCCGTCGCTGCCTGCACCGTCGGCGATTTTACGGAGAATGCGCGATGCGAAACGGCGTAGGAGGAGCACCCCCCCCAAACCCACCCCCCCCCCCCCCTCGCGTGGTTGGTTCAATTCCCCGTCGAGGGGGGGGGGGGGCCTCGTGAGATACACCAAAGCGGTCACGGTCTGACTGCCGTGGGGAAGTATGGTCGAGCGACCCCCCGCGGTGGACGTGGCGTGCGGAGGCTTTCATCCAGCGGTGGATCGTCAAAGGAAGGTAAATTTAATTTGACGGGAAGCAAACGAGGATTCCACAAATACGTAGAAAGTTACTCATTTGTGGAATACGTCAATGGTTTTGATGCCGTATACATCAAAAATGAAAGCACCATTACCACCACCATCCCAGCGTGGATGTAAATAGTCAGCTGGTGTCCGAGTACGTCCGACACATTATTCAAGGACGGTGGACAAATGCCGTTCGTCAACTACCAATCAGGAATGGCAGCCCTAATCGGTTGCTCATACTACGTGCGCAAGTAAAATACAATCCTTAGTCCACTCTACTCCACGATCACGCCACAGTTTAAGACGTTTCCAGAATAAACGTACGGCCTGTCACTGGTGGTGGATCCGCGCTTTCGTTGAACGCAAGCTTGGCGACCTCTATTTGGCAAACGCGCGCGTGCGGGCCCGGAGCGGCTGCGATCACGAGGGATATGCGATTCTGCTATCACGATTCCACTGGGATTGTTCCCAACCTGTGGGCAGCTAGGCCCCCTAGGGGGGGCGGCTGAGGATCCCTAGGGGGGGGGGGAGGGGGCAGCCGCGTCCACTTGGGAGGCTGGGCGCTGTCGTTTGCGTTTTTTTTATTTTCACGCCCATCCCTAAACAGGCGCTCGCTGCCAAATCTGCGGTGCGGAGGATTTACCGAGAAGGCACGGCGAGCGTGGGAACGGTGATCGACAGGGCGAGAGAGACCGAGTTGAAAACGTAGACGCAACTGTGTCAACAAGCGTGAGCGTCATGACTCAACTCCCACCGGACATGCTCTGGCTTGCCCTCGTCCCGCGTTTAATATAATTCCCCATCGGCGTCGTCGGGGGTTTAAAATAAATAAAATGACGTCCGCCGCGCCCTCGAGTTGGGGCTTGCCCAAAAGGGTGCCGAGGTCACCGCGCCGAGGAGGGCAACCGATCGGGAACTAAGTGCCTGCCGAGAGTACAGGTGCAGCAAAGGTGTCGATAAGCTCACACAAAAAAAAAACGACTAATATCCGAGACTGACAAAACGGGCCCCCCCCCCGTAACCAATCGACTCCGCTCCCATCACAGCTCAAAGAGTTGTTGCGATTCGGGCTGCCTATGCAATTCGGTAATCAATTTTTTTTTTAACTTTCAAAGAATCGAATCACCGGCGGCTTGCAAGGCGGCTTTGCAAGGGGGTTCGCCCCCCCCCACCCCCCCCCCCGGTGTCCCGTGGCGATGGCGCACCGACCGACGACGATTGGCTTCTCACGGCCCCAACGCGAGCACGCACCACGCGGACGCTCGCACCACGCGGACGCTGGAATCGACTTGAACCCCCTACGTGCGAATCGACGCATCGTCACGGCCGTCGCTTGGCCCGCGTTCTTCGGGTTCCCGCGGCGACAGCGGCCGGCTGATCGATTTTCAAGGTCGCCACTCGCCGTCTTCAAGGTGGCTTCACGACGGAGATGGGGGGGGGGGGGGAAGAGGAGTTTTTCTTCGTGACCCCTCAACACTGACCTCTCAGCAGAATCAAGACCATGATGATTAAGGGGCCTGATAGGATGCAGAACTCCATGAGCTTCCTGGGGTTCTGTATTCTATCAGGATCTGCACTTTGCTACCTCCACAATGATGATGCTGCTGCTGCTGCTCCATCCTCCGTCATTTTGAGCTACGCCGAGACCGGTTGAACACCGATCATCCCGGTTACACTTACAGCCTTTTTCCTCCCACTTGACACCAAGCGTCAGCGGTAACTCTGGACTTTCTCCCCGCTTCTCACGCCATGGCTCGCAACAACGCTGCAGATTCACGGTTTGCTCTCAGCACAATTTCCGCGGCTTTTCTTCTTGCCATCCAACGGGATATGCAATCGTCTTCTGCGGCACCCACAGTCACCGTCCGGGACAACCGACGGATTTATTTTAGCGACCAGCGGCGAACGTGCGAGGCCGTGTAAAAAACGAAACGCTAGGGTTGTCATTATTGTTGTCGTCGTTGTCGTCGTCGTTACTATCGCGCGACGCTCGGTCGACGTCGTGCCAGCGTCCGCGAGGGGGGTGGGGTGGAGGGCAGCCGCCCGCGCGTAGCGAAACGCGGCGGGCCGAGCGATCTCCTCCCGAGCCGAGCTGGGGGGGAAAGGTCGCCCGGCACAAACCTTCCACGGCCCCATAGGCCAGGGGGGTTCACAGGCCGACCGGCTCTGTGGGGTCGAGCGAGTTTTGGGGGTGCCGCCTCTCGGTCCGGGCCCCCCTCGTGCAAGGCGAGTGCCACTTAGCCAACCTGCAAGAACACAAGCGGATCGTTCGTGAAAACCGCAAAGCAGCCACCGACTTCTCGCGGGCAAGAACGGCAATCGGGGTTCACGGAGGCGGGGCGGGAGGAGGGGGAAGGGGGCGGCGCGTGACACTTACTCCGCGGGTTCCGCGGAAAAGCCGGCGGGGCGAGGCGTGGATAGGGGCGGCGTGGAGGGGTGGCACGGCGTGGCGTGGAGTGGTTTGTGGAGTGTCGCTCGATAATCTTGACGGTGAGCGGGGCGAGCGTGCGGGCGGGCGGGCGGGCGGGCGAGCGAGCGAGGGTGAACAAATCCCTTGGCTTGCGAGGCTGGCGGGGGAGCCGTCGAGGCGAGGCCGCGAGTCGCTCGCGGTAGCGTGACCGTGAAACGATGCCTAGCCGGTCCGCGCAGACGTCTCGGAGAGGAAGAGCAATTAGCCAGGAGAGGGCCCCGCTCACGGCCGCCCAGGTCGCTTGCCAGGCTCTCGCGTCGGGGGGGAGGGGGATAAGCGGGAGGGCTCACCACGCCAGGGGCTGTCGCGCTGGGCTGGCCGACACCCCTGGAAACGGGCCGGGAGAGCGCACGCGCGGCTACGGAACCAGCGACGCCCCTCCGGCGTCCGCTCGGACTCCAAGAGGCTGCGCGGGCGAGCGCGACGGCAAAGGTAGGGGCGCCGTCACCAAAGGCCTCCGACGCTTTGGGGGCGCCGGCGCGACCTCTTGGGAGCACCCCGGCGGGGCAACGGGGCCGCAGCTACGGCCGCGCGGCGCACGGCCGCGTTTGCGAGCGGGGTTTGGCAAGAGCAATAGCCCCGTCACAAACTCGCCTGTGAGATTATTGCGCATGAGCCAATCACGCATGATAAATCATGCCGCGTCCAGCTCTTGTGAACGGGAGCTCCCCAGCGCTTCGCACGGCACCCCCCTGCTTTTTGCAGCCCACGCCAACTGGGCAGGCCGGCGCCGCGCGCACACTGCGCTGGGTTAGGGGGTGGTTGGCCGTTTGGGGAGTCAACCTGGGCTTGACTGCCGCGGGGGAAAACGCAAGGGTCAAAGGTGAGATGCCGTCCGAGGTGCTTTGGGGGGGAATGCTGCAGTATTAAAGCGAGGGCCACACATCTCGGCATTCGAAATCCTCATTCCGCCGACGCGCTCCGTAGAACAGTGCCTTCACGTCACAGGCTAAGCGATCGATTTTTTTTTTTACAAATCGCAGCGTGCGTTGGGGTCACCCGCCTTCCAAACGACGGAGGAAGATGCGACATCTGGACAGTGGTGCTTGGGCGGGCGGGCGGGCATACAACAGGGCGGCTGCGTGGACTGCGACGTCAGCAGAGGGCGGTGCAGCAAAAAAATACTGTGCTGTACTTCTACGCTCCCAAAGTCCACGGCTCGCCACTTTCACCAACCCGCACTGACCAGCAGCCTGGTGAAACGCGGTCAATCGACCCCTCCCGCCACCGCCGCCGCCACACGGACGGACGGACACGGCTTGGCACAGCGAGCCGCTCGTCATCCAGCAGCGGAGCTGACGAATGGGGTCTCCGTATGCGTGGTGTGTGCATTTAGCGATTGTCCGTGTTTCTCCACGGCGGGTTGGCGCTACAACCGATGGAAAGCGCGACTCTTCGGGCGCGTCTGTGCGCTCCTTGCTTCTCGCGGATCAACGTCGCGGCCGCCACCCTAGGATCGTTCTGCCCATTTCATCCCACGCGGCACCTTTAACAAGCGTCCTAAGTGCGCACGCGAGCACGCACGCACGCACACACACGGTCGCTAGAAAAGTTCGAGACGTCACGTCAAATATCGTCGGCGGCCGGCGAGGGACGATGGTCGAGTCCAGTGATGGAAGTGACGCCCGACGGAGGGGCGGGGTACTTGTCCCGGAGGACGTCCATCGTGGAGATGGGAGCGGCGCAATCATCTCGTGCGCGGCCGCTCAATTGGACTGCAGTCAGTGAAGTCCGCAAATCGCATTCACCTTGGCCTCCCCCGGCTGGAACCACACAGAGACAACGATTCCCCCCCCACCCACCCACTCCACACAGCCGCCTGCATCGCCTGCTGCTGCGGCAAGCGCTGTTAACGGTACGGAAGTGATCGGTGAACTCCGCCGTGCGTCGCGGTGAAACGCACGCGGCCATCGTTTTTGCCTGGCGGCGGCGGCGCCACCGACGGTGGCCGTGCGTGGATGATGGCGGTGGAGGAACGGCGGTGGCGGCGGTGGAGGAACGGCGGTGGCGGTGATGATGATGATGATGGGAGAACGATCGCCGATTGCTCGGCGGTCGGCCTCGCGCCGGCATTGCGCGCCGCACCTCACCCACCGCCGTCGGGACGGCGGCCACAGGCGGGGGAGGGGGCAGCGGTGAGGAGGCCAAGAGGGAGGAGCTTGGTGCAGAGGGGGGCGGGACTACTTGGTCAGGTGGTTGGGTGAGAGGGCGGAAGGTGGTTGGGTGAGAGGTGGTTGGGTGAGGGGGGAGAGGTGGTTGTGTGAGGGGGGGGGAAGGTGGTTGGGTGAGAGGTGGTTGGGTGAGGGGGGGGAGGTGGTTGTGTGAGGGGGGGGGAAGGTGGTTGGGTGAGAGGGGGAGGTGGTTGGGTGAAAGGGGGAGGTGGTTGGGTGAGGGGGGGGGAGGTGGTTGGGTGAGAGGGGGAAGGTGGTTGGGTGAGGGGGGGGAGGTGGTTGGGTGAGGGGGGGGTGATTGGGTGAGGGGGGGAAGGTGGTTGGGTGCGTGGTTTTGCGAGTGGTGGGGTGCGAGTTGTGTTTTGAGAGGTGGGGTGAGTGGTGGAGCGAGTGGTTGGTGGAGTGAGTGGTCGGTTGAGTGGTGGTGAGCAGTGGGGTGAGTGGTGGGGTGAGTGGTGGGGTGAGCGGTGGGGTGAGTGGTCGGTGGAGTGGTGGTGGTGAGCGGTGGGGTGAGCGGTGGGGTGACTGGTGGAGCGAGTGGTTGGTGGGGTGAGTGGTCGGTTGAGTGGTGGTGGTGAGCGGTGGGGTGAGTGGTGGGGTGAGCGGTGGGGTGACTGGTGGAGCGAGTGGTTGGTGGGGGTGAGTGATGGGGTGAGTGGTGGTGGGGTGAGTGGTGGGGTGAGTGGTGGGGTGAGCGGTGGGGTGAGCGGTGGGGTGAGCGGTGGGGTGAGTGGTGGGGTGAGTGATGGGGTGACGGACCTCGGTGAGGATCAGGCCCCGTCACTCACCTTGCACTCCTGCATTGCCGTGGTGATGTGCGAGCTGCTGGGCTGCACGCCGTTGGCTTTGGCTCGGCGGTGGAGCGCAAAGCGGCTCTTACGCCTGCCCCGGTCTCCATCCGGCAGCGAGCCATTGTACCTGCGCCAGCCGCGTACACAAACAACCCCCCCGCTTAGCCTTCAACAGGTCTCTGGGGGGGCGAGTGCCGAATGCGGGCGCCCATGAAGGCCGGCACGCCACACGAGGGGGGTGGCCGGCCAGCACCACGCCCGGCCACCTTTGTCTCCCCAGTGCCGATGTTCGCGCGCCGCACCAGGGGATCATCTGAGGCCGAGTCGACCGAAGGGAGGCGCGGGACCGGTTCAGATAATCGTCACAGGCGTTGGCCGTGAGCGGGAATCGAACCCAGGTCGCCGCGTCCGTGGCGCGGCTCGCTAACCGCCGCGCCACCGCTCCCCACAACTCTTGCTCCCCGCGATCATGTGACCACACCGCCTCCCACGCGACTCTCGGCCGACGCCGACCATCGCCAAGAGCGATTCCCCACTCCGGTCTCGGGCTCCCCCCGAACCACGCCACGCCCCCCTCGCCAAATCCACCACCGACCGGTGCGGCAAAGCGCTAGGTGGTGGGTGGGCGGAGGGTGGAGGTCAAACATCCCCCCCCCCCCCCCAAGACCCTCATCCGTCAGCGGAGCGACGCGTCCAATCGGAACCGCGTCTCTGATAATCGACGCGGCCGCCGACGGAAGCACTTGTCTCCCCCCGCCCCCCCCCCCCCCCGGGGCAAGACTCACCCCAGGACGATGAGCTCTCCGTATTTCACGGCGTCTCCTCTGCTGGTGGCGGCTGGCTCCTGTTTGCCGGACATGGGCCTGGGGGCATAGGCGGAGCGGCGGGGCCCGGCGGCGGCGGCGGCGGAGAGGAATGGGAGCCGGGGGGGGGGAGGGAGGGGACGTGGGAAGGCGTCCGTCACCCTTCGTCCACGCCGTACGCGTCGTCCATCTCGACCGGGCGATCGATCGCGACCCTGCGGGATGAAGGGGGGGGGGGAGGAGCAGAGGGTGAGGGGGTGGGGGAGACCGTCACACCGTCGTTAGAAATAAAACGACGCAGGGACAGCACGCGGACAGACGTACCGGTGTGGGGAGAGCTCGGAGCTACGGTAAAGCAACGCGTTGGGCGAGGGGCGAGTGCGGGGCCAGACGAGACACGGACTTGCCCGTAGCCCGCACTGACCGTCGGGGGCGAGTGCTGTTCGAGGGCCCCTGTCAAGGCCGCCTTTGGCGCACGGAGGGGTTGGTGCGGACGGCACCCGCCTGCCGATAGCTACGCGACACGCACCAAGCACCCATTTTGAGTGCCGAGTCAACCTACGGGAGGCGTAGGGGCCGGTTCGGGTAATCGCCACCGACGTTACCCAGCGCCACCGCTCCACCCTGCAGGCAATTAGCCACTCTCAATTTCACTCACGACAACAACCGCCATTCGCCACCAAGTTGCGGTGACGTCACCACGGCGCTCGTGCCAGGCTATGTGCACGTTAAGGCCACGTGACGTGTCAAACGCTGGCAGGAGGTCACTGGACAGACCCAGGTGTCATGCGTTGACTGACAAGACGACTGGATGATGGCACCACCTGTGCCCCCTACTGCGCCGAGTTGGCACAGTTGGCACTTTGCTCACCCACGCTCGCACGTATTATCATGCTCTCGCGCAGTTTCACCAATCCTGGAGGAATTCGTGAGCTACTTCTACATTTACACCGCGACGTCCCAGGAATTTGTAGCCAGGTCGCTCCCTCGCAAACAACAATAACAACAAATTACTCATTTACCCAGGAGAGTCACACCCAGTCCAAAGGGTCTTTTTGAGGAGGGCCATGCCACATTCCGATGTTTGGGTCAAGGCCGATGACACCGTACGCCCCTTACCTACCGCGCAAGGGAACCGGGGAACCTGGAGGAAACCCGTGCAGAAAAGGGGGCGAAAATGCGGACTCTGTAAAGAATGGCGGCGTACGAGATCAGAGATCGAACCCAGGTCCGTCTTGGTGCGAGGCGCGAGTGTTTCCACTGCACCACCGCCGCCCTGCCGACCGTCCAATCGACGCAGCAGGCACGGGCCATTGTGTCCCACGGGAACGTCCGACTGATGGATGTGCGCCGGTGCGCTGCTGCTCAGGCCCACCCCCCCCGCCCCCTTATCCACCACCCCCCTCTCATCCACCACCCCACCCACCACCACCACACAGCAGCAACTCGCTCAGCGTCAATTAAGCTGCAGCTGCTCTCGCTGCTGCCAGCACCAGAGAGGAATCGACAGGTCCGGGGTTCAACTCTCACCAAGGAGGTTAAAGGCCACGCGCCGCTCGAGACGGGAGGTCACGTGATCGCTAAGCGTTTGTCGCCGTGGGCTTCTCAGCAGCATCATCATCATCACGAGGCACGATCTATCCACTGCTGGATGAAAGTCTCCGACATGCTCTCGCGGCCTCGCCGAGCAACGATATGACCTGCCCCTACGGGACATCTGTGAAACGGAGAATAACAGCTCATCGGATTCCTCCAGCGTGCATATTCCGCTTTCGTCACACCATCTCCGCCGCGGGTGGGAAAACCCTCTCGCCTCTTTTGGCCGTCACTCCGTCGAACTCGGCTCGCGAGTGGAGCGGCGGCGCGCTCACCGCTGCGCCGCCGCTCCACTCGCGAGCCAGGCCTGGTGCATCCTTGTTCCACGCCAAGCGTCAACGTATAGCACGGGGGTTAGGAGACGTAATTTGTTTTTCAGCTACTTTTATTTTTTTACGGTGAATTTAAAAGTCTCGACCACCATCCATTGTCTTCATGTGCACGGTGGTTGTGTCTTCACGAGTCTTCACGTGGACGGTGGTCGAGACTTCACGAGACTTCACGAGACTTCACGAGACTTCTCGAAACTTCATGAGTCTGCACGTGGACGTGGTCGAGTCTTGACGAGACTTCACGAGTCTTGATGAGACTTCATGAGACTTCACGAGACTTCACGTGGACATGGTCGAGTCTTCACGAGACTTCACGAGACTTCACGAGACTTCACGAGTCTTCACGAGACTTCACGAGACTTCACGAGTCTTCACGAGACTTCACGAGACTTCACGAGACTTCACCAGTCTGCATGAGTCTTCACAAGTCTTCACGAGTCTACACGAGTCTTCACGGGACTTCACGAGACTTCACGAGTCTTCACGAGTCTTCACGAGTCTTCACGAGTCTTCACGAGACTTCACGAGTCTTCATGAGACTTCACGAGTCTTCACGAGTCTACACGAGTCTTCATGAGACTTCACAAGTCTTCACGAGACTTCACGAGTCTTCACGAGTCTTCACGAGACTTCACGAGACTTCACGAGACTTCACGAGACTTCACGAGTCTGTACGTGGACGTGGTCGAGACTTCATGAGACTTCACGAGTCTTCACGAGACTTCACGAGTCTTCACGGGACTTCACGAGACTTCACGAGACTTCACGAGTCTTCACGGGACTTCACGAGACTTCACGAGACTTCATGAAACTTCACGAGACTTCATGAGACTTCACGATACTTCACGAGTCTTCACGAGACTTCACGAGTCTTCACGGGACTTCACGAGTCTTCACGAGACATCACGAGTCTTCACGAGACTTCACGAGTCTTCACGGGACTTCACGAGACTTCACGAGTCTTCACGAGTCTTCACGAGTCTTCACGGGACTTCACGAGACTTCACGAGACTTCACGAGACTTCACGAGTCTGCACGTGGACGGCGGTCGAGTCTTCACGAGTCTTCACTAGACTTCACGAGTCTTCACGAGACTTCACGAGACTTCATGAGACTTCACGAGACTTCACAAGACTTCACGAGTCTTCACGAGTCTTCACGAGACTTCATGAGACTTCACGAGTCTTCACGTGGATGTGGTCAAGACTCCACAAGTCTTCACGAGACTTCACGAGTCTTCACGAGACTTCACGAGACTTCACGAGTCTTCACGAGTCTTCACGAGTCTTCACGAGACTTCACGAGACTTCACGATACTTCACGAGACTTCACGAGACTTCACGAGACTTCACCAGACTTCACGAGACTTCACGAGTCTTCACGAGTCTTCACGAGACTTCATGAGACTTCACGAGACTTCACGAGACTTCACCAGACTTCACGAGACTTCACCAGACTTCACGAGACTTCACAAGTCTTCACGAGACTTCACGAGTCTTCACGGGACTTCACGAGTCTTCACGGGACTTCACGAGTCTTCACGGGACTTCACGAGACTTCACGAGTCTACAAGAGTATGCACGTGGACGTGGTCGAGACTTCATGAGACTTCAAAAGACTTCACGAGTCTTCACGGGACTTCACGAGACTTCATGAGACTTCACGATACTTCACGAGTCTTCACGAGTCTTCACGAGACTTCACGAGACTTCACGAGACTTCACGAGTCTTCACGGGACTTCACGAGTCTTCACGAGTCTTCACGAGACTTCACGAGTCTTCACGAGTCTTCACGAGTCTACACGAGTCTTCACGGGACTTCACGAGTCTTCACGAGACTTCACGAGTCTTCACGGGACTTCACGAGACTTCACGAGACTTCACGAGACTTCACGAGCCTGCACGTGGACGGCGGTCGAGTCTTCACGAGTCTTCACTAGACTTCACGAGTCTTCACGAGACTTCACGAGACTTCATGAGACTTCACGAGACTTCACAAGACTTCACGAGTCTTCACGAGTCTTCACGAGACTTCATGAGACTTCACGAGTCTTCACGTGGACGTGGTCAAGACTCCACAAGTCTTCACGAGTCTTCACGAGACTTCACGAGTCTACACGAGACTTCTCGAGTCTTCACGAGTCTTCACGAGACTTCACGAGACTTCACGAGTCTTCACGAGACTTCACGAGACTTCACGAGACTTCACGAGACTTCACCAGACTTCACGAGACTTCACGAGTCTTCACGAGTCTTCACGAGACTTCATGAGACTTCACGAGACTTCACGAGACTTCACCAGACTTCACGAGACTTCACAAGTCTTCACGAGACTTCACAAGTCTTCACGAGTCTTCACGAGTCTTCACGAGACTTCACGAGTCTTCATGAGACTTCATGAGACTTCACGAGTCTTCACGGGACTTCACGAGTCTTCACGGGACTTCACGAGACTTCACGAGTCTACAAGAGTATGCACGTGGACGTGGTCGAGACTTCATGAGACTTCAAAAGACTTCACGAGTCTTCACGGGACTTCACGAGACTTCACGAGACTTCACGAGTATGCACGTGGACGTGGTCGAGACTTCATGAGACTTCATGAGACTTCACGAGTCTTCACGAGACTTCACGAGTCTTCACGGGACTTCACGAGACTTCACGAGTCTGCACGTGGACGGCGGTCGAGTCTTCACGAGTCTTCGCAGTCAATGTGTCGGCTCCTCGCTGCCGGGGAGGGGGGGGCAACCGGCAGCTCCGGTTCAAACTCCAGAGTTACGAGATTCGGGGGAAACGCGGTGTTACAGGCAGACGGCCAGCTGCCAGGCATCGGCCGGTCAGAGCACTCGCTCAACTGATGCTCAGAAATATCAGAGTTCAAATCAGTGTGAAGGGTCAAACTCGTATCTATGGGAACTTTGTTGCCAGTATTCCAAAGATGATGAGAAATAAGAATAGGTTCTTACCTTTTCTGGCAATAAAAGAGGCGGTGTTATGATGTTAAAACATCAATTAGGTACCTTTTGCGAGGCATCAAGTCTGCATTAACCACACTTTGTGGCAAAAACATGCAAACAAACACGCTCTGATAATATATGCAGTGGCTTCGAAACCGATTGGCCTCAACTCAGCCCACGACCAACATCACCATCGTCGTTGTCATCATCATCATCATCAAGCTAAGGTGTCGAGAGACAGTACCGAGAAGCGGCCTCTATTATTGTACGACACGTACCGCGTGCTTGTCACCGCCGTGTGGGTTCTTCCCTCTGGCGTTTGTTATTTTT